AGGCTGGTAACCCTTAAACCATAACAATAATGTTAATAAACGAGGATTTTTTTCAGCTGGGAGACATCTTCTCCTGCTGTGTTTGAAGGTTTTCCTGAAGAATCCTTTTTTGGATTGCATAAAGCATCTGCAGTAGAAGATGTGTTGTTTGTGACTGGGTCAGCAGTGTAACTGTGCAACGTTTGCTCAAGTCTCTGAACACCTGTAAAAAAGAAATACAGAGGGAAACACCGACTGGTAAAAAAATCCCCATGAGAATCATTAAACACTGAAACAGGTTCCTCAGGGAGGCTGCATAATCTTCGACTTCAGACAGTGTCAAAGCTTCACTGAACAAGGCCCAGAGCAGCTCTCTCTGACTTAGCGACTGGCCCTGCCTCGAGCTTGAAGTTGTAATAGAGGACCCAAGAGTTCCCTTTCAACCTTCATTTTTCTGTGACTGTATATACTACTATTGCTTCACAAACATCCACTCGGCCAACAATATCTAGCGTTCATTCAAGGTTAAGTATTTTATAGCATAAGAGATAGATAATCTTTTCATATCCAACATGAGCCCCATAAAATTGAAGGATGGTTGGGTATTGCTACATGTTATAAAGCATAGTTTGAAACAGTAACAATCCTTTCGCATAAAATTTGGTTCCTTACTTCTAATTGATAGAGTAAAAGTAAATTTTAAAATTAAATACTGAAAGCTTCAGAGGTTTAGCATAATCCACTATAAGTGCTTTGTAACCTATGCTCCGGGACAATCTAATATTGCTCAGTTCATGCAAATTCTAAAAATGCCCCTCACAAACTGAGAGAGAATAACTAGGTTTGAACTCATTATTTATAATGTTAACATTTTTTTAAAACCTGTGTGCTACTACATGCCATAGGAGAAGTAAATCCCACTTACACAAGTAAATCTTATCTACAGAATCGGAGAAAACCAGTCTAAACCATCCAGGTTCATAACAATAAAAAGCTTTTCCAGGACTAATCAGGAGTTTTTTATCAAGGAGCTTCTGCCATAATTCAAGTTCAGCTTCAAACGTCTGTGATTTTAAGAACTAAAAGAAGAAAATAAATTTTTATTAAAAGTTGAACAAGTGCATACGCTCATTTAAAGGATTTTCCAGGACTTGACAAAATGTGTAACAACATGCACAAATAACTTTTACACTTCCACGTTTTTCTTACATACTTTTCTGAAGTCTGCCCACACATAGAGTCCTCCTGAACTTTGGAGCACAGGTATTCCAACATCTGCAAGCCCATCCACAAGAATATTCTGTGCTTCTTTAAGTCGTTTTTTGTTGGTGGGAAAAAACACATTATCCAACCAATCTATCAAAGCAAGAAAAATAGAATTGGTTTATTTCCACCTGCAATGGAAAAATAAAATAGTTCAATGGAAAGAGATCTTTTGTGGCAAACCTCTGTCCCTAAGGAATTGGCTGAGAACGTGCTGAACGGGTCCAGGACAGCTATGGAAGACGGCCAGTTGATTCACAGCTTTCCGAATGTCATCATTTCTGGTGTACAGTACTCCAACCCTGATACCACTCATCCCAAAATCCTTGGCGGGCAAAAAGAAGAGAGCAAGGTGCAATTTTCACTTTACTTCAAGCCACCAAGTCTAGAGTCATTTTGACGAACAGGAAAAAAAAAACAAAACCTTCTAAAGTAAATTCTCAACATTACCAAATGGGAGTCACAAACATGATAAAAACCAGCCAGGAACTTCTAAACAACCCTGTGGCAGCGAGTTCTGAAATGTACTTGTATGTTTCAATGCCTTGTGCATACGCATTACCTTTCTGTTAAGTAGATCCCACATTAAACTCTGAACTCTAACAGATTTTCCACTACCAAAGAAGAAGACTGTCAACAAAGAGAAACTCAGTTTGGCACCTATAATACAAATTATGTCAGAATAGTCCAACTGATTTTGGAGAAATAAATTAAAACACAAACATAGAATTTTGACCTACCTTGCTAAAACCCCATATAAAATGTGTCCGTTCTGGATCTGGTAAACTGAATGAGAAAAGAGGCAGATAAGAACTGCTGCTACAGAAGAACAAGTTATGCAGGTTACAAAAATGTTTACATTTGTAAAACGGTAGTAATTTCTTAGTAAAATTGGTATTTAATCCTTTAAAGTGACATGACATTTTTTCAGAGATCTTTTAGCAAAATATTACCCTGTGACACTGATTTACCAAGTGTGTGCTGAGGCACTGATTCACACACAAAAAAAGAAACCAGAAATGATCTGCGCAAAGATGTAATGGTCCAGTTAAAATCCCAGATTCCCCCTGCATAGTTCGTAATCATGCCCATATTAAAACAAAAGCAGTATTTCCGTGAGAGTTGCACAATCGCTCTTGTACTTGATGGAGATGAATTGTTTGCCCAACTATACTGCATTTCAGGCTAGGGAAGGGAGAAGTGACATTTTAGGGCATGCACCTACACAGTGGGGTGCAACTAACCGGCATACATTTCAGTGCACCACTGCAGATGACAGGTTTTTTTTCTCCTCTGTGTTACTTCGCATAAGTAGGGCCAAGGCTGGAAATTTCCTTCTTCAGCCTAATGGAGCTCAGTGAACTTTCACAATAACAAAAGTATTTTTTTAGGCTCTCTTTATAGTTCATGACCTCATACAGGTGAGGGAACACCCAGTCACACAGAGCTTGGTTGTACTTGGGTGTACTTGACAATTGCCCATTGGTATGAAATTTATGCAGTTACATAAAGACGATCGCATGTTTTTGGGGAAAGAAATTTTATTGGTCAGATACCAATAGGTTTAAATATTCTTGAAACATCTATTCTTTTCATCACCTGGTGGGAAACTAAGAGCCACCAGTAAGGAAGGAGACTCATTACAGCAGGTAACTTGCACATCCTTAGGCAACTTCATTACCACTACAGTGAGAACTTTACGCTCATGTGGTGCAACAGGGAACAACAAAGAAAAGCAGCGGCAAAATGACCATGGCCTCTGTCATTCTTTATTGTTATGACTGTATCATACACACAAGCTGGAAGAAAGAGATCTGCCATTTAAAGCCATCTATGAAGAAGATCTCTTGTATTAACTGGTGTTATAGCTGCAAAGACTTGGATCTGAGTTCATTCGAACTATATCGGCTACACCAGCTAAGCAGAAGTTTGAAGAAAATGGCATGGGTTCTATTAGGATTAAATATCTTCTAATCCCTGCTAAGAAATCACACTTACCAGTCTAAGCTAAGAACACTGGTGAAGGTGGTATCGTCATAAACAGACAGCATGTATATTTCATCCATCATTACATGCAATTCATTTCTACGTGTGGAAAAATGTAGGGTTACTAACATTCAAAAGAATTTTTTTGCATATATATATATATAAAAATATAATCTCAAATATATATTTGCCACAGAAAAGTATTCATAAGCATGCCTATTTCCTATTGTATTCCTCCTACGGGTTTTACACAGTTGGGTATCACCAACTTCTATTTATGCCTATTCTGTATTTTGCAGCAGCAATGACGTTCCATATATCTGAAACAAAATCCAACTGTATACTCAGTCCAATGGTTGTCTGGAATATGTATGGTCCCACACAACTCTTATTTAAAACTTAAAAGTAAAACAGCAATATATTACAAACTTCTTTAGCCTGCAAGATTCCTCCAGTGAGACTTGAAGTCCAATGCAGATGTTAGATTTTGAAAAAAGACTTGTCATACACTTAAGATAACTTTCTAATACACTTTCACTGTGAAAGCCACAGTAAACAGTGATTCATGTCATCATACTTGATAGCAATAAACCATGCACATATGAAATCTACCAACCTTCATTGCTGTTTCCATGAAAATAAAATCATGCCAAAAACGCAGGAATGTTGGGATGTCCCCAGCAATCTCTGGTAATTAATGAACAATTAATAGCAAGCTACTCTATTTAAGATTGTCAGAAACTAAGTATTGTTAGCTTTCAAAGTGTGTACAGGATTTTGCAGTTGTTCTTTGGCAGAAGCTCACTGAAGTAATACAGGAATATCTCTTTTCCTAAAAAATACAGATGTTTTTCAAAAGGAAGTGTTTTTTCTCCATCAGTACCCAAAGGATTCAGGAGACTGTCAGAGCTTAGAACATGAACTCTGAGCTGGGTGAGGATCAAAGACTGAAAATCACCTGTTGTCATTTTTCTGAGCCATGCATCAAAGCGGTTTAATAAAGAAACATTGTTAGGCAAATAAAAAGCTTTCTAAGTTTAAATAACACATAAAAGAATATAAATCCCAATATATCATACATTTAATTTCATTAACCGCAACATCTTTTCATTCAGAAAGACATTCTTGGATCCCAGTTTACGCATTTTTTTTAACCTGTGCAGTTTACCTGTGTGCAAACTCCAGACATTCTTCCAGTAACTGCGCTGGGTAAATGTGTCCTAAGGGGTTGTGGGGGTTGATCAGGATCAGTGCTCTGACTCGGATGCCCTGGAAAAAGAAAAACTGAGAGCTGGAGGCACAAAACACATCAAACCAATGACTTGTGAGGATGCAGTGAGGAAGTCTGTGAACTCTGCAGTGAACAGCAGCTTTTGAAGATTATTTCATTACATACTATAATTACTCTACAGACTGAGGTTCCAGCTACTGACCTAGTTTCATAATTTAGCCAATATCACCCCCAAAACATACTAAATAGTTCATTAGTAAATGAAAATCAGGTCAGCACTCATTTGCAACACCCACTGATACCAACAGGGAAGATTATGGTGGTGTGGGGATTAATACTGGTTCTGCAGGCATACTTTCAAAATAATTCCCTAGAATTGAGCAAGGCTGCTGCTGATAAACATGGGAAAGCTGAACAGAAATTGGACTTTGACATCTAATCACCTGCCAAATAAGTTTTCAATGTTGTTTGTTTCTTTAAACAAGCAATAGAAGCTGCAGAAGACTTAAAATTGAATTACTTGGTGTTTTATGAGATGCAGAGAGGTCTTGGGCAAATAATTACTTTTTAGTTATATTTATCAACAATGCAGAATTGTTATGGAAATTATCTATCCACAGAAGCTAAATAATCTACTGTGCAATAAGAAAAGTCCCACATGATCAAAAATTAGATTACAAGTACAAACATAACCGGTCCTTCTAATCTATTTTCTATTTGCTAAAAAAACCCTTTAGGTACAAGAACATAAGCTATATGCAGCAAATACATTTTTATAGTACACAATCAAACAGTGCAATGACTACAGCAGAATCTTTCAAGACCTTAAACATATCCACAAGAGGAGCTGCCTTATTACTTAATGTTTGAGATAAACTTAAAATTAAATTGGGATTGTTTCTGCATTTTTAATTCTTAGAAAACCTCTCCCACTGCAGATTCTCACTTCACCCAGGCCTCCTCCAAATGACATTATTTGCAAAGACCAACTCCCAAGGAACCCCAGGAAATCAACTTCAATGACGAGGCGGCCCTGATATTTGCTTTCCCTGCCACGTGCACTTTGAACATGAATGGGTGCTGTGAGCAAGAACTTCCCAAGAAATGAACTTTCAGCATACTGCCATTGATTTTAGTTACGGGAAAAAATTACCTGGCAGCAAGATAAGATGCAAACACTAAGCACAGCCAGCTGTTCCACAAGGACTCTTTGCGTAACGGCGTATTTAGTGTATTTGACACCTGCGGGGTATTAAGGCGAAAATGCTGCATGAGGCATTTTTGTTCACAGGAACAGCTGCCGTGTGACCGCAGTTTCTTGAGTGCTGTTTAAGTCTAGGTCCTCCATCTCATTATGATATTACATGAATCCAAAAGAGATGTTTATAATATTATTTGTGAGAACAGTTGCAGCTCTAAAAGGATGACAAGCCCATGCAGATCTCTAAGAGTGAATCTGCTCCGTGACCCAGCACCTTGTCCAGCCAGGTTGTGCCCCAACAGCCACACGAAGGCTTTGGGGACATGAGTTGCTTCCTGCCAGGTCAAGCGAGAAGGGTCAGAATGCTGGGGTACAGACAGATGACACAGACGTACAGATGGCGTCTAAACATAGGCACCATGCTGAGCAAGCAGTTGGCTAACTAGGACAGCTTCAGCGTGTCTATAAAAACATTACGCGCACACATGTATCCAAAATAGCCACCTTTGAGATATAACCTTACCTATAACTGACCTCTGTAAGTGACCTTCCCCATAACTACATGCTGTATCTATTGCTAAATCTCATTTTCTATCCTGGAAGAGGACACAAGGAGTCTATCTCACTTCGTGTTTTGAAACATCACTGCTATCACCACTACATCTTTGATAAAATGCTTTACTATTCAGCCTGTGCTTTCTCCGCTGGACCTTTTTAAGGATGAGCACAACCAGCTAACTTTAATAATAAGTTAATAATTTTAATAATAGTAAGTTTATAATTTTTCAGGAAACGAGTGGATTATGAATAACAAGACAATAAGACTAGGAAACGCTTTAGCCTGAAATAGTGGTGAGCACTATTTTGTAGACAATCACAAAACCAAACATTTCCACAAGGAAGAAAAGCAGTTGCAAAGACAGGGAGGAATGTGGTGGGGGGGAAGTATGTGACAAGCAATAATATCCTCATTCATGCAATCCTGATTAGAATAAAATCACTGAACATGTGTATTGGGTTTTCTGTGAAGGGTTTTTGGTTGTGTCTTTGGTAACGGGGGCAGGGCTATGGAGATGGCCCTTTAAGAAGCTACCTGAAAAGCTCCCCCTTTGCCTTTGTCAGAGCCACCTCTGACCAGGGCCAAGCCAATCAGTGCCCCTGCGAATTCATGTATTTAAAGGGGTGCAGGGCATGCCTCTCTCTCTCTCTGGCACCAGCCCTGACCAGCGTGGCCCGAGGTGTGGGCGGTACAGCCCCGGCCCTGCCCGGCTGGGCTTGGCCAGCCCTGACCACAACTTAAGCTTAAACCCCGCTGCAGCTTCATCCTGAGAAAAAAAAAAGAGAGAGAGCCGGGAACTCCAGAACCATCAGAAGAGACCTGCAGCGGAGAAAGGAGTGGGGCCTGAGAAGGACAACTTTGAAGAACACCAAGGTCAGTTGACGAAAAGAAAGGAGAAGGAGGAGGAGAAGGACACCAAGCCCAGGTTCCCCTTCTAGAACCCGTGGTGAGAGCCGAGTCGACTGGCCTGCAGCCCGTAGAGTTCACCAGTGGAGCAGGGCCACATGAGCAGTGGCTGCCCCTGAAGAAGCCGTGACTCCGGGGACTGCCTGCTGGGGCAGTTCGTGTGTGAGGGGCAAACTGCAGCTGTGGGCAGACCCATATTGGACTTTTGAGGACTTTTTCCCCTATGGAAAGGGGGCCACGTGGAAGCAGAGAGAGACACTGGGCTGAGTTTGTTTTCTCCTACTCCTGAGGGGCACACGGCATGAAAACCGACTGCAACCCCCACTCCCATCCCCCTGCACCTCAAGGCAAAGCGGGAGGGGGAAGGTGAAGGAACCAGGAACAAAAGCTGAGCCCAGGAAGAAGGGAGGGGTGGGGGGAAGGTGTTTTGACTTTAAGATCTGGATGTATCTCCCATTGTTCTACTCTGATGTTGGTAATAATTTAAAATTGATTGTTTTTTATTCCTTGTGATGAGTCTGTCTTTTGCCTGTGACCTGTTTAAGTGGTGAGGCGGCCTCCCAGTCCCTATTTTGACTAGCCCTTTTTTGGGGCATCGTGGTGCTCAGCTATGCACTGGGCCTAAACCACGACAACATGCTAAGTATTTTGAACTAAAGAAGTTTCCTAAATTCTAGAAAAATTTAATTTGTAATTTTTTGTTTACTAGCAATTCCAACTCCTGAGCTGGAACTCCGAAGAACCTGCTTCAAAAATCACATTAGACACGTTTCTTTCATTAACTGAGTGGGTGGGTCGCTACAGTAACATATTAATTCTCTCTTTTGTGGGTCAGAACAACAGCTTGTTTACAACACTTTGAATTCCATTAAAATCTACAGAGAAAGAAACTTGCTCTTGAAACACAAGTTAAGATCTGTTCTTCATAGAACTGAGTCAGGTAGTGTCTCTGCATTTTGTTACAGTGCCCAGATTATAAAATCAGTTCAACTTCTGTTGTTGAAGTTGAGTTGGATCCACCGCAGTCACAAGACTGAAAATCTGCACAGATTAAATTGTACAAATGCTTCAAGGCTAAGACCATGTGCTGCTTACAAAATAACTTGGAAAAGATGAAAACTGGAAATCAATGTCATTGCTACCTGCTTTTTAGCTCTCTGTAATGCATCTTCTAATTTTTCAACTGTTAACAGGAAAGGGTGACTTTCTTCAACAGTCACCTACAGAATAACAAACAAGAATTAAAAAAATATTAAAAATATATAGAAATAAAAGAACACACTGCAGAAATACCCCCACATAGTGAAACTACAATTGCTACAGGCTTTTATAAAATAAAATAATCTGAATTTAAGGTCAGTCTTTTCTGTGTAACTCAATTATAATGTTTTAAATGTTGCCTTATACATGACTACACTATCAGCAATTTACAGAAGAACTTGTGTACTTGAAAGATCACTTTTCTTCTCCCCCTCTAACTGTATGATTTGGTCTTATAAAAAATGCTAACAATCCCCTTTGAGTTGCTCCACAGATTACTGTTTTCAAAGGGAGAACCAATGTTACACATCTTTCAGTGCTTAAGGGTAAAAATTTGCAATCCAAATTTACTCGTGGTAGTAGGACAGACTTAGAGCTGACAAATTATAATTCAGCACGTCAGTGCAGAGCAGCATCTGTGCAGAACGAATGCAATCCTACGCATCTGACGACAGCAGCCTCCCATCACGCTGCAGGCTGAGGAAAAGACCAGCTGTCTCTGAAGGTGCCAGACGCGTACCATCGCTTCACTTGGAGTCAGTTCGCATTTTCAGGGTTTTTTTGATTGTCCCCTGTGAAACGTCTGTTGATGTATGTGAATAGCCAAAGCTTTACCTCACTGAACAAGGGCACATGAACAGGCTGTATTCCACCATATAGCCATGTTTTCGAATTTATACCACCATAGTATGGAGCTGGAATAAGATAGCCATCTAAAAACAGTAAAAAAAATGAAAAGAACATTTCTCATGAGCAATTATTTCACTATACTCTATTAGACTAAACTGACAATCTAAGAATTCGGCATCTCAAAGCCTTCACCAGTATTTAAATAAAAACGAAAATTTAGCATACGTCAATCAATCTGAATTCTTTCCTAATATTCTTCCTTAGCATTTGCAATAGCATATTTGACAGTCACGTATTTTCAGTAAAAGGGAACAGACATGGTTAACTACTTGTTTTATTTACTTACGTAAATATAGTGGCAAATAATGACCTTGTGCTCACTATTTTGCTAATGCTCTGTTACTATCAAATTTTCATCGGGAATTGCTGCAAACCTCAACTACCTCTTTCTGGCTGCCAAGGCGCTACCTTGCACCCAGGGAGCCTACAGCCCTGTGGAACTTCTTTCTCACAGGGTGCCGTAGGGGTGGCGCTGCCTCCTGCACTGGAGGCCAGAAAAGTTCTTCTGCTCACCTTCCTCCCCTGGCAGCTCTTAGTGGACTTCTCCATTCTCTGCCATACTGCACACCTACTCTGCCTTCCTCCTTCCAAACGTGAGAGGAAGCCAGTTTCCCGTGCTGAGCTCTCTTTTTGTGCTTACTGTCTAGTTCTGCTGTGAGCAGTTTGTTTCCCAGGACTCCACTCCTCCTGCTTTGCCTTCCTACCTCTGCTTCCTCCCCAACCCATTCCCCTGTCCCAGATTCCTTCTACGTGTTTTCTTTATCCAGTTACCCAAGTTTTCTGGCTTCCAGATTTCAACCCAGTCCACCTCCCTCCCTGTCTGCCTGCTCCCTCCAGCTTCCACTGTGGTTCCCACCTCTTCTTCTCATAACATTTCAAAATACACTGCATTCTCTTGATAGCCTTCTCCTTTTCCTATAATGCTCTCTAAAAACTGTAGATTCCATTCCAAATATTTTCCACATTCTAGAAATTGAGCCATTATTTCAAAGATACTCTGCCAGTAGCAAAGAAATACTATGCCTTGCTTCATTCATGCTGTCAGAAGTCACAATACGACTATATTCACTGCTAAAAATGTTTTTTAAAGTAATATAATCAGATTTTTACTCACCATCAGGGTCACACAATACAGTTGACAGAGTAGCAAAAACAGCACAACAGCCATTCATAACCGTTATCTGAAAGAAGCAGTACAAACTTTCATTTAGCGATGAAGTATTTAGCAGAAACATCAGCACTTGTTTAAATTCATAAATAAATAAATAAAGTTAAATACCAAATTACTAGTTAAATCCCAATAGCTCAATCCAAAAAAAACGAGAACAAAAACGTCACTCCACTACACCTATAACACCCGTCCTTGAATGTTACACCTTGCCCACTTTTTCAAATGGAAAACTAACACTACTGTGACTTCTGTGAATCTTGCATATATCCCTCCTGTAGTATTTTGCTGACATTTGTATTCAGATTTATTCATCTTTATCAGTTTAAGAAAAATCAGATGCAAAGATAAAGCACTTGTCTTACATGTTCCGGGTTCAGTGCTTTTGCAGCTCTGGCATAGTCAGTCAGAAATTTGGCAATTTCTTCTCTGAAGCTAAAATACAGAATTAAAGCCAAATATGCAATCTCATAGTTCTCAGGAAAAACAAAAGGCACAAAATACTCACAGAGGAACGAAGCTTATCAAAAATAGAACAAATGCATAATTCATATTGTTATAAAAGCCTTGGGGATTTTGATTAAATAATATAATTTCCTCGGATATCCAGTGTGCTACATTTTGTGAGACAGAAAGCACACAGAAGCCATCTGTTACCTTGAATCACAGTGACTTCGACTCAACTATTATTGCTGTACATTAGGAAAAAAAAAAGAAAAGAAGGCATCTTTGAGCTCCAGTGGGATCTGTTTTTTGGAGAAAGGACAAGACTTTGGGTATCAGAAACAGTGAAACCCGAGTCAGTGACAATTCTTTATATCAGGACAGGCTTTAAGCCCGAGTGAATGGTGGAGTTCCTGTTGATCTTCAGGGCATCAGTGTTCCACCTCTGCTCTTCACAGCCCCCAGAGTTTCAGTCTATCCCTCACCCAGACTCGAATGAATCATCCCAGGAGGGCTCCACCGTGCTCTCTCACTTGCCAACAAGCTCCCGGATCTCTGACATGTGGTGTTCCAGGTGGCACATTGAGGGCAGGGAGAACAACAGAACAAAAATCCAGAGCAGTAATTCCTGCACAAACCCAACAGCCTGCCAGCGCGCAGCTAACAGCAACACACCCATCCTCAGGTTTACCAAAAGAATAAAACCGCAGCCTTTTTTTTTTTTCTTCACGCGAGCCATGACTGACAACAGCAGTGTGATAAACATGAGAATGAGCTTCTTACCTTTTAGTACCTTGTGTATCAGAATACTGGAAAAGATCAGGCTCCAGATAATTCATGTCAGGTCTTGTCAGCTAATGACATAAAAGAGAGCTACTGGGGAACAGCGTTCTCAGGAGTCTGTTCTGCCACAGCAGAGTAACCTTTCATTATTTCAAAAAGAAACCCACAAACATTCAGTAACATTAAGGCAACAGAAAATATAAAAATTAATGTGTTACAATTATGTTTATACTTTGCACTTCTCTCTTTTAGTTTTAAGATGTTAGAAAACAACATTAAAACTTCATCAAAACAAAGAAAGAGAATAATGAAAGAATTATTTGTTGGATTATTCTGTCATACAGTCCTAGATAACACATTGAAGAAAAGCATCCCAGCTGTACCTAAGAGATTATGCAGCCTCCTCTTGGATATATCAAAGCTCCAACATTCCTTGCAATAATTGTATCAGCTTTTAAGTCACAAGTCAGCTTTGGTTAGCTTCTCAACCATCAGGATAAAAGTTACAGCAACCTTATCTGCTGCAGAGAAAGCTAGCTGTATTATCAGCAATGGCTTTCTTGCTCTCAAAGCAAATGCCCCTCCAAAAAACTGGCTCAGTCCTAGATTCATAGTGACATCAATTTTGGTTTATCTTGAAGAAAAAAAATGCTCTCCAACTGCCTCACTGCCAACTCATCAGCTACGTGGCCTCTGTGCTGAGTTTATGCCTGACTCTCTGTCACAAGCACTGTGAATGCACTTGCAGCTGCTCCAGTGCAAATTCATTAGCTCATGTGAGTAGGAAAGAGAGGCAAGAGGTAAGGGCAAGCTGCAGAAGCTGGCCTGGCAACCACAGCTGCATTTTGCTAACACATAAGGCAGAACATCACATTTTCCAGCAGATGAACTACAATTAACAGCTCTGGGGAAAGTATCACCCTTAAACAATGTGCAATTTCCCCATAGTTGAGCTTCAGGCTCTTGATGCGGTGTGAATCAGCATAATGTTTCGGTTGTAGTGTTAATTTTGCTCAAAGTCTGAATTTAATGTACAGAGCATTTTCAGTTAAAGCTTTGGCTTTGCCATCAGAAAAGTGAGTGCCTCATCAGGCCATGATTTTCCTCCTCCAAAAATACACTTCTTCCAAAGCAGGATTTTCTGCTGAAACAGGAACAGACGCTTAAATCAGTTCTGTTTGGAGAATCTGCCCAATTACATGCGAACGAAGCTTAAGCAAAACCAAAACTATTCTGCTTTTTCAACCAGAGGCAAGTTTTCAGTGTAAATATTAGTTGGCAAATTATTTCCGAGTGTGCAATTGGAGCGGTACATATAAACATACAAAGTACGTGTCGTTGTGAAAGCTGTTAGTTGCAGCACCGTCACCATCCCACCCTGTAGGTTACTTTGCCTGTGCTAAATCATTAACTGGACACTTCCAAATTGTCAAACTGGCGGTTAAATCCCAGTGAGTCAGACAACAGCAGCACTTACTCTCTCCTCTATCAAGTCAAAGCACAGCTTGTTCTCACTTGTGCCCAAATTCAGGATGCCCTGGAAGAGATGGCACCTGTTAACCCCTGCAGGAGGAGAAAAGCACCGAGCACCCAGCGGGGCTTTGAGAGCCCCCAGAGCACCTCCGCCGCCCCGGGTCCAGCTGCACCCCACACCTGCGGATTGAGCTCCCGATCGAAGGGGTCGGCCACGTAGAGGGCGAAGCCCGCGTCCAGC